TAAAATAAAGAGAAAGGTGAAGGCAAAGCACTGAAATTGTTCCCTTTTTTCCTATAGCCACACTAAGAAAAAAAGAAAAAGAGGAAATTGAATGCCATAAATATATTCAAACAATAAAATTTTGATTTACAGGAAGAAAAGCAAATAAATTGTGAGTAATGATTTGAGGTTGTAGAGGTCTCCAAACACTACATGATTTTTATTTGTCATGTGTGTTGCAGTATTCAGACTCACTGAAGTATATTCAGAACACAGATTCTGCCTAGTTTTTTGAAGGTATTTTGCTTGGTTTGAGCTTTTTCCCCTCTTCTTAATCAAATGGGCTGCACAGGCACCTTTGTAGTTACAACACTGTGAATCCAACACTTACAAGACAACGTGGTTTGTTGCAGTTATTGACTTCACACACACACAGAAGTGACTCTTCTTCAGAGCTTTTGGAATTTTAATCATGTTTCCTGATGATCCTTTGGCTACACATAAAAATAGAGACAAATATCTCTACAACTGACCCCATGGTGGGCAGTGTCCTAAAGCTGTTATGCCAGGGAATGCAGTGAAAAGGAGGAGATGCTTATGCATAAAATGCACTTTGCCTTAAAATTATCTTAGTCCAGTGGGAAACCTCCTACTGTTCCTATATGTATACAGACACACACCTTGTCCCTAAAATTATTTCAAATAGCCATTCTATCCAAGGAAGGTGTCTACAGCTGAGTTTCCTCTTCTGCTTTTGCAGAAACAGTTAACTGAGAACGGATGGAAAATGAAAAAAAAAGTATGGAATTCAAAGATAATTAATTTACTACATATTTCCAAGGTATCAAACTTTAAAACACCTGTGAGTATCTGCTATTTTCAGCTTTCAGTCAAAGTAGCTGCCAATACCCATAGCACAAAAACTGAGGAGTAATTGCACAGATCCTGGGAAAGTCAGAGGGGCATTCAAGGTAGTGTCAGTCAGTTTGGCTCCACTGGTCTGATCCGTGACATTTTAAATGCAGATATGGACAGTGTCCTGGAAAAAATGATTTGGGATACGTCACAGAATGGCTTGGGTTGGAAGGGACCTGAAAGACCATCCAGTAAGGCTCTGGTACAAGCTGCCCAGAGCAGCTGTGGCTGCCCCATCCCTGGAAGTGTCCAGGGCCACGTTGGACAAGGCTCAGAGCTACCTGGGATCCTGGGATAGTGGAAGGTGTCCCTGCCCATGGCAGGGGTGTGGAACCAGGTGATCTCTTCCAACCCAAGCCATCCTGTGATTTATGGCATCGCTCCTCTTTCCCATGCTATCAGCAGCCATTGCTGATATATTGCTCTGAAGTTCTGGTATAATATCTCTGCACAATAAAATAGTCCATTTTGACCTGTGTGTGGACAATTTCATCACACTGACACCTCAGCTTTCTCTCTGCATTCTTCTGCCCACCACACCTCTGGGTACACTCAAGGAGAAGTACCAAAGAACGCTCCGACAGTAACATTTGGGTTTGTGACTGGGGCACATGAGCAGTTTCTCTGTGAATCACTGGCACAGCCCTGTAATCTCCACTGGAAGGTGCAACTGTGGTAGAACTGGTGTGCTGAATTATTTTGTTATGAATCTAGGAGCACATTTGTAAGTTATTATACAACCAGTGCATTCTATGAAACAATCTGGGAAGCCCAAACTTCCCAGCTTCAATCCCTGCCCGAGCCTAGTGAGTCCCTGAAGGATTTACTTCTTTGCTTTCGATTCCCTGTGTGTCACTGGAGAATAACAGCACTTACCTACTTCACAGCAAGGCTCTTCTGAGAGCTAATTAATGTTTGTTGCACAACACTTTGAATTTGTAAAATGTCATTTAAGTGATAAGTATTATTGCCATTATCATCAGCGCTGTCCTGGGTACCACAGACACACGAAAGCGGCTGCTCTAAGAGCTACTTAATACATTAAGGACAAGGAGCAAAGTGGAAAAAGCATCAAATCCTTTTCATTTCCTTAAGAACAACAAGTGCTTAAAAAAAAAAAAAAAGTGGTTGACAACATCTGCTTGCCTTGAAGATTTCTGTTTTAGGGTCTGTTCTCTGCCACACTCACTCTGACTCGTCCCCCAGGTAGCTGCTCCAACTGGTTGTCAGTGGGAGCACAGTGTGATGGCAGCAGAACCCACCACACTGGGAGCTGCCTGGAACAGAGATGCTGCATAGGTGCAGTTTAATAAGTGTATTTTTCCCCAGCTTCCCTTCCTGTGGAACCTCATCTCCCTTTTTAATTTCGTTTTCCCCTTTCCAGACAGCAGAGGTAAGGTCAGCAGCCAGTGATGTAATAAACCAGTTAGGAACGTGCTGCAAAGTGCACCACATGAGATAATAACTATATTTAGCTATAAAATTTCAATGTGGATTATATTTCGAAAGTCTATTTATATAACTCCTTTTGTGGATAAATTAAAAACTAATTTAAGTATTCAAACCAGTGGGGGTAAAAAAAAAAAAAAAAAAGGCTTAAATTATGTCCAAAAGGTAAGGACATGATTCAGTACATGAGGAGAGAGACCCTGGAGGTTTATCCCCTTTCAAAAGGCAGGGATTTCTAGAAAAATCCATTAGTTTTAACCCTTGGACAAATGCACATCCAGTTTGGACCCTGTACCCTACCAACTCAGCTCACCCTGAAAATCTGAAACTGCAGCACCAAGGACTGTGGTTCTCTGGCAATTTTCTCCTCATTAACCTGAGGTTCTGGGGAACCAACTCCAATCAGGAAGATATTTACATCCAGATCAATGGGAAATGAGACTCCCCAACACAGACTGTCCTGCACAATATTTTAGTGTCCCAAACCTATTAAGAGCTATGAGATTTATACCATGAAGTTCATGCACCATGCTATAATTTACACCTAAAAGTTGTCTTGCAGCTGCTTCCCCTTGGCCTGTTCTTCCATTACATCCAAATTAATAAAGTCTATAACCTGTGTGTTCCTATGCTAAAGATAATGAAGGAATGAGGGGTGGGTGAGAAGGAAATAATGACAACATAGACAAAATCAACACTAAATGATAATATTTCTCAACTGCTGTGACTGTCTGAAAAATTTTGGCTTAATGCATCTATGATATTGTGTGTTAAAAACAAAACACTTGTGTTTTTCTTATTTTTGACTTCTCAAATCAGTGCCTCAGCAAGGCACCACCATATGCAAACTACAGAGAGCCCCAATTAGGATCTTCTCTGTTAAACCCTCAGTGATACTGCAAAGCACAGACAAAAGTGTAACTAAATAAATAGATACCAGCATATAAATCACAGAGATTAACTTCAAGCTTGTGAAAATAACCCTTGTAAATATAAAGTGAAGGTCATCAGACACCCAGCACACAGGGCTGACAACAGTGGGACATAGGCAGACTGGGCTGGGCTGCCACCCCAGGAGCTGAATTCATATCTCCTGCCAATACATGGAATTTTCCTTCCGAGTAATAAACTACTCAACGGGAAGGAAGAATCCAGAAACACAAAGTGCATCATGGAATGCAAATTCCTGAGGGAAACCACCTGAGGCGGGTGCAAAAGCTGCTGCTGCACGTCCTCCCTCCCCTTCAGAAGGGGGTAATAAAAAGCTGGAATGGACAAAGAGTTGGTGTGTACAAGCCAAAATACCAAAACCCAAGTAGGAGCAAGAACAGCAGTGGTAGGAAGGGCTGAGGGATGTGTTAAACACACAGTGCCTTCAGAGAAAGGGCCTCATCCCCTCTAGTAACAAGTGCAGCAGCCCCAGCCTTTATTTACTATGTATGCACATATCTTTGACCTATATTTTGAAAACCATTAAGAATCCAGAATATGGACAAACAAAAATAAGGAGAGAGGTTTTTTGTTATTGTTGGGTTTTTCCTCTTCTCTTTTGTGCTAAATAGCACAGCCTCAAGCCATTCCTTACAGTTGCAAACATGTTCAAATGAGGCCTTCAAAGGCTGGAGGCTGAACTCTCCCGGGTGGACTCTCTTGTAATCATTAGGCTAAGCAGAAAACACAAAACTGCTGTAAACAACAAACTTATAAAAGAGAATGTTAAATATCATGCCACCAAGTCAACAGGAAACTGAAGCTCTCTGATACACAAGTCATGGTCACGAGGCACACTGTGCTCACATCAAAATGTAACTTGGTTTTCTTCTGTTTATTTTTCTTCTCTGTTTATTACTTTGTGTGAGAATGAAAGGCAGTAGGGGAAGAGAAGCAAGACAACAGACAGCCGTGGTAACAACAACACTTTCAACTGCCTTTGGCTCTTCTAACAGCATCAGGAAGACAAAGAACATCATAGACTGCAAGTTTATTAAGTAAAAAAGGAGGTGAGAACTCCCAAAGAAAGCACAATCCAGAAACAGCAGATTCTGTATTGAACAGTCACTGATTTACCTTTAAAGACGGAGCTTTTTCACGTGATAAAGACCTTGGAGAACACAGCCCTTTAGCAGACAACAACTAGGTGCCTGCCTACACATCCTTTCCAAGTTGATCTTGGATCAACTCCTCACTTTTGCCCCAAAAGTGTGAAATTTGCAGCAGATGCCACTGTGCATCTCAGCTGCTTCATGAAACCAACTGAGGAATCTCTTCTGGAACTAAGGAACAACTTGATTTTGGTGACTTGTAATACCAAAACTAAGGGCTGTGTGACCAAAATAAAGGCAAAAGAATTGTGCACTACCACCTCTATCAGATGTACAGTGATTCACATCAGAGTTCTTTCCCAGTGACAAAAAAACAAAGTACATTCAATGACAAAAGTTCCCAAAAGAAAGCCCACAATTCACAGAACATGCTGCATTTCAACTTTCTAATGTCTTCAGCTAAGAACATCTTAAATTCCTTAAGTTAACAGCAGAAATACATTCACTTAAAAGCAAACAGATGCAATTAGAATGATAAACTTGCTGCTTGCAAAAACGCTGCCTTATAAACAGGATATTTACTGAAAGCAGTTGTGTTCCAACTATAACACTTACCTTCACAACTGTGTTCTCTCAATAATGAGTTGGGGTTTCGAGAGCTTCCACACTTTGTTGCACCCAGGTATGGCAGTTATGGTTTCTCAGGCAAACTGCACTTAACCTGTGAAAAACAAAATAAACTTTCAATTCATGTACTGCCTGGCAGAAAAACAGAAACTCATGGCTAAAAGGACTTTGATGAATTAAGTTTTCACTACAGGTGTCACTTTTCAGCGAGCTGCCTGTGCTGTTTGAGTTCTCTGGGTATTCCTCCTCAGCACACTCACTAATATCATTTAATGCTGATCTAATTCACTTGGCAGTGCCCCCCATGGCTTTGGCTGCAATAAGTACTTCTAACATTTACAGGCCCCCGTTCCCAACCACTAATCCAAGTGGAAGCAGCTGTTCTGCTGCCTCAGCATGGAGCTCTGGTTGGCACCTTGGCCACAGCTGCAGTACATCTGTGCAGCTCATGGAAAACACCAAAATACCAAAATGGTTCAAACCAACGAGGTTCTGATCTGTGCCATGACTCCTGTGCCATGTAAAAAGTACTTCCCTTTGTTCAATTCACTTAATGCATCTGTTGTATCATGCATCTAGTTTAAAAATTAATAATTTCTTGGTAAAAGTTACAGTATTTCAGTTTCCCACCTTATCTCCAAGGTTTCTCTGAGTCTGAGGAAGCAGCAGAATTCCACCTTCCCCCCTTGCCACAAACATCAGGCTTCAGAAAGTAAAATAATAGGTAGAGCTCCACCCTTACACTCACAAAGATCCTTTGGGGAGTGAAGTTCCTGGTATTTATCAGATCTTCCAACACAAACCTTAAGCTCCAGGTACAACCTGCCTTTCCACAGAAAAACACCCAGTCACTGGGATATGGGAGTCACTGTGGCCATGGTAATCCAAATATACTGCCTTAAAACTGCAAATGCAGGAAGGTGTTCATAACACTTGAATCTTTAAGGTGAAAGTTTGTCTTTATTTTTTTGCCTCCTAATTTTTTACTTTCACAGAAGTGGGTTTAGGCTCATTTTGAAAGGAATCTGCTCTCCAACCATCGGTCGTTATGGAGCTGTTCCAGGAATCCAACAGATGTGATGGAGGGACTGCTCCAAGCATCCACACCCACCAGATCCAAGATCCCTTCCCCATGTTCCCACCTCAGTTTCAGCCACTACAGATGAACCTCTGTCCATGGAAAGAGGAGGAGGCCCCACAGGGCCACGGCCTTAAAGGGAACAGTTAAAACCAAACCTCAGCTTAAGCGTTTTGTTGGATCAATTCCAAATCAAGTCCCAATTCTTTGTGTTTTGACAGTTTGGTAACGCAAAATAGAACACACAGACAGTAGAAACACAATCAAAGTCTTTGCTACTTGAGCCTCTGGAAGTCTCTCCTATTTATAAATAGCAAAAACGTATGTTTATGTAAAGGGAAACACTGATTTACTAGAACTGATTGCTTCACAGTCTAATTACTTTTCAACTGGCTGTTCCAAATTAAGATGTCATTGATGGCTTTTGGTGATATATTTCATTTTAAGCAAATTTATTCTATAATAGAGCACATCATAATGGAAAGCAGAGTTTCCACTCTTCCCTCCTCTTTGTAGCCTGATATCTTGACAAGTAAATTAAATTTAGCAGTTAAAATGCTTCCATTAGTAATTTTATTAAGTTAATTAAGGAATCTCTCTTTCTGAATTTTAACTACATTCATTTCAGCACAACCTTGATGTTCTTTTTTTTTTTTAAATTCCATACATTTCGTAACCATGATGGTTTCTAGGACAAACAACTGCCTATAGAGCATTCCTAAGACTATGACAAACTCAAATAAGAAAAAAGCCAGAAATTTTAAAATAACAAAACCTCATTTTTTTCATTTAAATTCTTTTGCTCTGCAAATAAACCAAGACTCTCCTACTCAAATCTAGGGACTATGATTGCTGTGAGCAACTCCAAAATCTACAAATCACAGCAGAAATCACACATCTAGAACATTTCTGCTCTAGAAAACAGGTCAAGATGTGTAAATCAGTGTCAATAAAATGAGAATTAGCTGAACCCTCACCTATTGCTTAAGCCAAATTCATAACTCCTGGTTCATGGAAACTCTGCATTTCATAAATAATGCCTTAACTTTCATTTACCTTTTTCATCTTTCAACACAGAAAAGGCAAAGATAGAACCAAATATTATGAGAGCAACTGTTCCCTTTTATATCCCTCCTCCCTGAATCGTGGGACTATGAGAAATTCCCTGAGATTTTCAATTGCCTCCAAAGCAAAGAATTCTGGGTAGTTTATATCCAAACTAAATTCATATATTGTAAACATGAGCTAATAAAATGCTTTATTTTTTCAGTCACCAGCACTGCAATGTGCAAAAAACCTCTAATAGTAAAGAAAAAAAAAAAAAAAACCAAAAAAAACCCCCTAATTTATCTTCTCACCTAAAGGAAGGGGATTTTTCAATAAACAGTCAAACATTAATTTGCCCCAGGACTGGGGCTGAACTAATGATAATGTCCACTTGACATTCCATGGTCTGCTGAAAAGAAACGTCTCCAAGAAGTAAAATACGATTATTTAAACCCAAACACTAAGCACAAGGAAGGTTGACACTGATTGTGTATGACAAGGCCACCCAGGGGCACAGCTCAGCACGGGCACATTAACATGTACAGATGTAACAGTGCTCCCTATCACAGCCAAACATGCACCAGGCTAAGGGATAAACAACTGGGAAGGGGGAATTATTTGCTGTACCAAAGATCCGCTGATACAGGTTTGAGGGGGGAAAAAACGGCAATATTAAAATGGGGAGAAATGCTACAGAGCTCATTGATCCCACCTGATCTTAACAGAGGGCAGAGAACCCCTGCAGCCAGGCCCTGAGGGCTGGAAAAGCTTGGGAGAAGGATGGCTGGGAGTAGAGGGGAGAAAAACCACATAGGTGAAGCAACTGTATAAGGATCTCACATTAAATTAACTTTTTGACAGTGAACTACTTGGATTTTTTTCTTTCCTAGAGAACTGACCAACCTCCCTCACAGGAGCTTTCCAGCATGCACAGGACAAGACAGGCAAGAAGGGCCAAGGATGAGGTAAAATTAGTAGTCTAAATTACACAGATCACCTCTAATTACATCATAGTTGGGCTGCAAATAAAAGCAGTGATAAAATAGACTATTTAAAATGATGTTCATGTTGTACTGGTGGAGAACTGCCTATGGAGATGTTGATCCCACTCCACAATGCAGTTCCAAATGCACCAGGTGCCTTTTGCCAAGTGTTTTGGCTGAAAGATAGGAGTGAGGTCAAAACGTGGCAGAATTTCTCTACAAACAAGAGCAAACAGAGACTGTGGGGTTTTTTTATTTTTCATTAGTAATGGTCAGATGACTTGGGAGGAAACTTTTCCCAGCACAAATAATATTTTGTTATAAAAGTTGTACCTTACTATTTATTTTTGCAGAAACAGAAAAGCCTCAGACAAATTCTCCAATGAGAAAAAAAAGTTCATCAATTTGAATAAAAACGTTTTGTTTCATTTTTATAAATAAAAACATTTGGGGGGTCCTCCTGTAACTAATGACATTCTGCATTTAGAGCAAGATTTCAGGTATAGAATAAAAAACTAATCAAGCTTGAAAACACATGAAGTCTTTAAATCTGTTTTTCCTATATCAAGCACAATTAATCAATCATTCTTGATATATCACTGGAGTTAAAGAAAAGCAGTAAAGGAAAAGTTTGTGGAATGGATAAACTCTGCAAGAATCTTCTTTTTTATTGTAATATTTCTAATATTTAGACACACATACAAGTTTGTAGAACCAGCCAATCTCCTCTTCCCCAACACTTTAACTAATTACTTGCTGAATCTTAAAATTGGGTTGATTTAAAAGTAAAAATTATCAAGATATGATACACAAGTTCTCGATTCATTTTGCCCAAAGCTTAAACACTGTTTTTACAGGCAGAAAAATAAAAAAAAAAAAAAAAAAAGAGGCATAAATAGTCTCCACAAAGGGATTTTAGAAGCAGACTAGACTAACTTCAGTACATTCACTACCGTGTTTTTTTAGGAATATTCTGTACCACCATTTTAAGCAGTGAGTAAAGCTTCCAGAACTGATGTTATGGGTACAGAGAGTTTTGTGGGGAAAAGATAACACATGAAAAGCAAACAAACAAACAAACAAACAAAAAACCAAAAACAAACAAAAAAACAAAACAAAACCACAACAAACACCCTCAACCTAAAACAAGCATAAGGCTGATTTCCTCAATTTTAATCATATTTTTTGCTTTATGGTAGCTCACCATACCTTTGTAAAACAGTAAGGGACAGTATGCGATAAGTTAAAGTCAATGTCCCCTCAGGTTTCTAAGGCCTGTGAGAGGACACTAAACTACAAATGGAGGGATCCAGATTTTCACTGTGTGGGGAACGGCCAAACATTATCTCCACCAGGAGGAAAAAGCCAGGCTATGCCAGCAGTTTCTCAGGTTACACACCTCAGGCTCTCACATTTGTATTTTCAAGGCCTGGGCCCAACAAAATGGCGCCTGGGCCCAACAAAATGGCGCCTGGGCCCAACAAAATGGCGCCTGGGCCCAACAAAATGGCGCCTGGGCCCAACAAAATGGCGCCTGGGCCCAACAAAATGGCGCCTGGGCCCAACAAAATGGCGCCTGGGCCCAACAAAATGGCGCCTGGGCCTGACGGGGCCTCTCCTTCCCCCTGCAGCCCCCCACAGGTGTCACCTATTAAGTGATGTTGAGAACAACTGAAAAGCTCTTCCCAGGATCGTATCTGCTTTCCATAAATCCAGGGATTAAAGATTATGTGAACAAATAAAATAGTCTCCATTCTAACTTCCCCACCACAAAGGAGGAGGCTACTTGCAAAACCACAGCAACAAAGCTGGAAAGGATCAGGAGAGGTCAGAGAGTCCATCCCTGGGCTCCGAAAACAGGTTCAGGTGTATCTGCATAAGTTTTAAACAGGTGTTTTTCCAGCCTGTTATTTAACACCTCTAATTGCAAGGTTACACAGTGCTCTCAGCAGCTCATCTCCATGGTTAGAGAGTTTACATCTGCAC